CAAATCAGTTACAAATATCAAGCTTTGGTTAAAGAACCATAATTAATTTGTATTTATATTTACATTGGCAATGTTGAATATAAATAGTGTTATGTCTCCGTTCGTTAGTTAATTTTCCATTAAGACTCTTACCAAAGAAACTTTACCGATACAAGTCCTTTCTTAAATAAAACTGGTTTATTCTTTCTGAATATAACTTCGTGATACACTTAATTTCAACAGTCATGCTATAACAAACGCTATAATTCTCAAGAACGTCTCACGTGCTCAACAATATTCTCTCTCCGCAGTTCAATTACACATTGTTCCGTCATGTTGTGACCGTCTTATATATACAAGACTAACACATATCTAGTAAACATTAGAGCATTCATGAAGGAACAGGATATTTCTAGGATGTGGCGTGATACTAGTCACGTGACCTCGCTGACGCAACAATAGCATCACTGATTTTTCATGAATTCCATCATGTTGAAGTGATTTATTACTATTCAATTAAAGCAACTTTTTGTAATATACTGAAGAACTGCTAAACCAACATACAAATTTTGAGTTTCAGGTAAAATTGCAGTAATATATTATTCTTAAAAAATTCAGTGTTCACTCAAAAGAAAATTTTTTGGATGGTACGACATCTTTCTCAAAGTACTTTCCCACTATAAACTTTGCTACTACTTTTTTAACAAAATTAATAGAAAAGCATTATTTCAGTGAGAAAAAATTACTGTTTATGTTAAACAAGTTTTATTACTCTTTTTGAATAAAGATAATACCAATGGGTACAAATGTTTTATTTGTATTACAAAAATTCCACAAAATATGTACACACACACACACATATCATATAATGTATATTAAATCTGAAGAAATCATTAAATTATTATTAGAAATTTCATAATAAAAATTGTTTTTGCAATAGTCAAATATGAAATAATAGCAAGCATATTTTGATAAATATCTTAATGTAGAAAAAACCTCATTCATACTCCTGAGGATAAAAGATATATATATCAACCTACACGAATAATTATTGAAATCATACTAAACACACAAAATAAAAAATCTCTACAGAACTAAGCCTACTCTAATGTACTGCTGGAATTATCACTTGGATGCTATGTGTAATTAATTTGGAAAATAAAATCTATTTACCGCTTGCTTTAATAATTACAAGACCCAAAGAACATAGACTCTGCATATCAAAAATATCATCATAACAATCATTTACGAAATGATTGTTAAGATGATATTTTTGATATCTAGTAAATCACTTAAATTTATAATATTTAGTACAAACATACAAGTTGTAAGATAAAAAAAAGTACTTGCATTCTTAAGCAATTTTTTTCAGATTCATGACAAAAATCTAGCCCATCAGTATTCTTCTAAGCTCTTATATCCCCTTTGCCTCATCATCTAATATCTGTTCTATTTCTTATCATCTTTCCCAATTACCACATTATATCATGTGCTCCATCTCCTTCCACTGCAGTCTACCTTCCTTCTCCTTATTTAACAAATATTTGTTACACTTTATCTAATTGCTACATTTGGTCTTCTTTAATTTTGTTGTCCATAATGATTTCATTAATCTTCCCTCTCTCCTTATCTTGTTGTACCATTTGTTATATGTTGACTACATTATCTTATTTCCCTCTCTTATCTACCAATATCTTCTATCCTGCCATTCAATAACCTCCTCACTTCTTTCCAATTCAGTTTACCACTAATTCTTCTTTATAAAATCCTAACTTTTGAATTATTATATTTTCCTCTTTCCATTAGTTTTCTATATCTGTTTCCTTCTTTAACCTGTAATAATCTTCAATACTTCTCTCTTCTTCTGTAATCTCTGTCTTTTCTTTAAAAGCATATGTTCTTTTTTACCATATTGCCATATTTTCTACATTCTTGACCCTTCCGTTACCATACAACATGGTATCATTTTCTCCACCTCCAATAAGCATTTTGCATATTTTATCTGTACATTTTCTTACTTCTTCTGTTCAAACTATCCCAGTTGTTCTGATCCATATATGAATACCACTTTAACTACTGGAATAGTTTCATCCTTACCTGGAAATTTGTTCAAATTCTCCTTTCTCCAAAACCCCAAATCAAATTTGATGCTATTGTCCTATTAAATTCACATACGCGGAAAATGAAGTTTCATTCACAAGTCTATCTTTTAAGTGTCTAATACATTCTCTCTACATGTATATACATGACAGTATTTCATGAGCTATGTGATACAACACTTATCACTTATCTTTGTTCACTAACTGAAAACAGTTTCTTGAGTTTTACTTCATGCACATTATTCTCAATTTGTTTAGAGGAAACCATTACTGAAGTCAGAGAATCATAAATTGTGGTAGTATGCAAGTGGTTTGTTTTAATTACTT